CTACACATTTACTTGTATTTAGTTTTAAACATATTGTATGGCTCTCACAGAATTACATTTTAAAATATGTGGCGATCATGGCTCTCTCAGACAAAAAGGTTCCCGACCCCTGACATAGAAGAATCTCTTTCCTGCCTTCTAGTGGCTGCTTGGATTTTTTCAGCCCAGATATAGTAGGCCTAGAAATGGTGGTCTATGAAAATGTCAGTGGTAGATATAATGCTACAGTATGATTATCTACAAAAATGAAAGGGAGAGAAGTAGGGCCAAGAGGAAGACTAGAGAAGAGGTCTATAACTTGCAGGTTAGGAGCAAGGGCAATAATTATATTTACACTAGGCCAAAACAGGCTAGTTAGTACTGGTTAGACATTTATTGTAAACTGCAGGATGCTAATTGCTATTGGAGCCATGTTAACATTTTTTTTTTAATTTAGTTGAAGAGGAAGAAGAAGAAGAAGATATGAGAGGGAAAATACATCACTACGACAAGTTAATAATTCCTGGTAAGTGTACTTAAGGTGATGTTTTCAATTCTATATATTTAAACCTAGATCTATTCTAGTCATATGGAAATTGGGAAAAGGTGGATAGTATCAATTTTTAAAAGCATACTGCTGGAAAGTAAAAATTCTTCACCTTCAATTTTCCCACATCCCGTCCTGTTAACACATATTTTTCAACCATGATATTATGGTGTAAGCCGAAGACACAAGTGTTTGAGAAAAAGGAAGTTTACATATTGCCTTTGACCCTGTCCCATCGTAGCTTACAACAGCACACCTTCCTAGTCAGTCCCTCTAAAAATAATTGCAAGTATAATGATTTCACACCTCCAAATCCCATCTGTGAGAGATTATTCTAAATAGTGATAAATATGAAAAGTTGGTGGGAAATACAGAGGTATCTAGCCAGTATAGTTCCACATCCATTACTCACTGAAAATTGTCCAGCAAGGTAACGAGTATGGAAACCAGGTTGGAAATAGAGTGAAAATATCTAAGGTATAAGAAGCTACTTCATATTCCAATATCTAGTTCCAGAATTGCTAACTGGACAATGGTAAATTTAAAATTGTTCAAGTGAAAGGGTCAAACTATTTCTTCAATAGTCTTAAATGCCTCCACCTTCAATACAATCAGGACAATAACCATCCTAAAAAAGACATTGGCAATCAGTGGCATCCATACTTAAAATTCAATATTTGCCAATTTCAATAACCAGTGGCCAAGATCTATAGAATATATAGAATACTAAGTAAATCAAATAACTTGGTTAAATACTTATTTAAATTCATTATTAGCATACTGTATAACAGTCAAGTCATTTCCTTAGTGTGAGAATGGATTTCTAACCAACTGTTGAAGGCAAGAAAATGCTGGAAATTCAGTGGGGAATAAAATGGGAGAGGATATGGTTGATTGAAACTAAGTTAGGTGTGTTTATGTTGCAACATTGTGGCAGGTCTCACTTGTTACTGACATTATTAAATTGTGTGGATCTCTTGTATTTACAGTAAATGTCCTTAATTATAATTAATATGTTTTACTGCTGTAAGTCATCTTGATTTTCAAATAGATAAAAAGGTGGAATATACATCCAGCGATAAATAAATAACAAGTTTTTGACTGCATCCATTGCACTAAATATAATGGTTAGTTATTTGTTTGAATCCAGCCAGTATGGTTTGTAAAACATGTTTTATAGATTATTATGTTGTGTGATTCTAGCTAATTGTGGTTTCTTCAACGCATCCAGCAGCATCTGCAACAAACTGCAATGATGCCAAAATAACAACAGGCACCCAATGATGTCATCATGCAACTGTCCATTATATAATTGTGTCCTGATGTCTGACACAAGTATGTAAATCATAGTATTTAAGTGATGACATGTTATTCCCTCTGTCACCTTGATGCTATGAAACACACCATGACTGAACAAATTATATCTTGTATCAGTACAGTGTGATACTGTTCTTTTAAGTCTTTCAAAAATGATTTTTTTCATGTTGATATTTTGTCCATGGGCATGTAAGATACCTGAAATCTAAACTTAATTATGTAAAGTAGGAATGTCTGCTTGGTGGTTTCAAATCCAATTTTGCAAGCTGTGTATATTTCAGCATTCTTGTAATCTTTATATACCCGTTCTATATTCTTTTAAACAGAATCTCAAAGCAGGCCACTCTAACATATTTCTAATATCTTGAAATGTTTTTCTTTGTAGACCATGTTGTTTCTTTGAATGCTTCTGATGAATTCTTGAAAACTCGAATCATGAATCTCCCTGAAAGCATTGTTGCTGGAACGCATTATGCTCAGGACCGATACTTAAGATCCCTCAGTCTTTTTAGGGAGTTAAATTCTGAGGATGAAACTGTACTCAACTATTTTGATGAAATAGAAATACACCCACAATATATTGGTATGATATAAAATACATCTAATTCTTTCATTCTATTCCATTTCATCTAGCTATTATAATCTTTTGTGTCATTTTCATGTACTATCAGTTTGTACATTTAGATAACAAATAGTTAAAATTACAACAAGCATAGTATTATAAGTCAAATTTTGTTAAGCCAACTTGAAAAAAAAACAAATGAAGGGAAACAAGAAAATAGCTTAATTATTTTAATTATGCCTTCCTGTCTCAATTTCCCATACTGAGCCAATTTTCTCAACATGTGAAAAGGAAGTCATAAAAGAGAATTAAAGTATAAAAAGGGATTATTGCCCTCCATAGTCAGCATATATAACCTCAGCTGCATTGCGCGGTAATTAAAGAAACCAGCACTTCTACAAAATCTAGACAGCATCTGTTCCACCACCACAACAATCACTAAATTATGAAAATAAAACTAGCATTAGACCAAATGGTATGTTATTAATAGCAATGAGATTAATTTGGGCAACTTTTTTTTTTTTTTTCTTATATGGTAGGCCACATTGGTGGTTGGAGAATTTTTCTGGGGATTTATGATTGAGGAGACCAGCAATAGGTGAGGTAACCATGGGGGTAGGCTCAGGCAGAGCCACATCTGTTCTGTACCCTTCCTATTCATACATTTTTGCACACACGACTCACATAACTTTTCTCACACACGAACCTATTCACACTTGTCAAGTGAATGTGTGAGCTCCCTTTGGAGACTCTTCTTGTCACAAAACCAGATTTAGTTCAGATAGTCTTTTCTAAATGGTTTAATTACTTGCTGCTAAACACTTTGTTCAGATATGTGGCAGTTGTTGTTTTAAGTTATAGATATCCTTATTTCTTTTACTATTAAGGGACAGTTTGTTTATTGGTAAAAGTGGTAGACAAGAGAAGGGTAGACCCAGGTTCAAATCCCTCCTCAGTTACGCAGTCTCAGTGTCTGACTTTAGTCCCATCACTGTCTCTTAGCCCAAACTACCTCTTATGAGTGAATATTGGGAATACCATAAAGTTTCATTGGCAAACTATTTCCAAGTGTTCCTCAATAAAGGGTATTTATAATAGGATGCCACCAATCAAGTTGAACCTCCTGATGTACCTTCATTGTCCAGCTTGAGTTCTTTAGTGCTTGATCAAGGCCTTCCCATTTCAACCCTACTGTAGGAAAAAGAGAAAAGAACATGTATGTCAGCCCAACAAGGTAGAGCAGACTAAGAAACCAATGCCATACAGGTCAGGACTACTTTTATTGTAATAGCTAAAAGTAACAGAACCTTGCAAGTCTGAATATGCTTCCCCCCCCCCCCCCCCCGAGCAGACTAAGAAACCAATGCCCTACAGGTCAGGACTACTTTTATTGTACTAGCTAAAAGTAACAGAACCTTGCAAGTCTGGATATGCTTCCCCCCCCCCCCCCCCCGAGCAGACTAAGAAACCAATGCCCTACGGGGCGGGGCTCTTTTTTTTTTAATAGCGAAAAGGAACAGACCCTTGCGAGGGTGGATTTCCCTCCCCCCCCCCCCCACTTTATCTTCATGTGAACTAGGCGGGGGCTTGTCTGAGACATTTTCTCAAATTATTTTCTTGGCTTGGGCTCACCCTCCTCTTAACTGACCATTGCCTTGGTAGCAGTTCTTTCTCATGTTCTTTAAGGCCATTATCATCTACAATGTTTTGGAGCTTTCTGCTCAAACCTCAGAAGTACTGCACAGAACTTAACAAACTTGTGATTAGGATTTCTGCTAATCCTGAACACATGCAATCTTGCATGTGGCAACGGTTTTAATGTGAAATTCCCCTATTAAACCAAATCCCTAGAAATAAAATGGAGTTTGTTTACAAGTGCTTATTTACATTTGTATGCTGACTTTTGTATGCAGTTCCTTTATGGGGAAAAGGGGAATGTAGGAAAAAAAAGTTGCTCTTTCTCACAAACACAGGATTCCAAATAAAACAAGAGTCAGCCTATCAAAATTGTTATTGAATAGATTCTTAGATTTCAGCACATGTTATAAAGAAGTATGGAGATGGCCTTGAAGAAGGAATTCAGTAGCTATTAGATGAATGCCAGCTTAGCCTTGGAAGGGAGGAGGGAGTGAAAAAGAAATTCAAGATTGTTCCACTTTGATTCTCTTTGGTATAATAGAGGGAGAGGGAATTTCTGTTCAGTCTTTCAAGATTCTGTTATTAACAATAACTTTAACAATAAAGTAGAATTCTAGTAGTTCTTGTAGTATTTGTTTCCTGACCTGGCTGACCTCAAAGGAAAGGCACATGTTCAGAATTTATTGAAGAGAGTATAATGGAGAGAGATTGTTTATGCCTTCTACTTGAGTGTTGTTAGGCAGGCTCTTCTTGCTTTTCTCCTTTCTTTTTCTCCTTAGCACTATTCTGTCTTATAGAATAAGGGGGATGTGAAAGGTAACTCTTTTGGGAAGATTTGGCTTACTTTGCCCAGTCAGGCAAAATCCTTCTCCTCTGATGTCCTGTGTCTAGGCAGCAAACCAGAAAATTACCAAGTGGCTGATTATATAAAAAAGGTTTACATGGTTGAGGATTTTTCCAGCAAACCAGAAAATTACCAAGTGGTTGGTTATATAGCAAAGGTTTACATGGTTGAGGATTTTTTTTTTTTTTTTTGGAAAACAAAATATGAATTTCATCTTTCCAAGCTCTTCAGCATAGGAGACTTATCACATGCTTTGAAGAGACACTATTGTGTCATACCAAAATCAGTTTATCACACTATCTCACAGGACAGTTGTTGTGGAGAAAAATTAGAGGAAGTATTATGTATACTGCCTTGAATTCCTGGAGGAAAGTTGGGATATAAGTATAACAAGCAAATGAATTAAATGACAGCTTAAATTTAAAGCTATCATGATGGAAAACAGACTTCCCCAATTTTGTATTTGTTTGCTATTATGCAACAATTCCAACCATCCTTTTTGGCCATGTTATCTGGGGCTTATTGGAATTTGACAGCATGAGAGTCACAAAGCCACAGCTTTTCCATATCTACCTAACTTTTTGAACTATTTCAGCAAACAGTTTTGTACATTTGACAAATTTCATTACTTTTGCTCCACACATATAATATATTGTCCTGGGTTCTGTTACACAAAAACTGTATGGGCCCCTCATATATTGCAAGACTATTCATTTGCTTATATTAATAAACACATTATATATTTACTATCTCTTTGGTGCCATTCATTTATTTTTTATTTTTTTATAAACTTTGCAAGGAGGCATTTTTATGGTGAAAGCATTGGCCTGTTTATCATGACAATTAAAAAATAATAATATTCAATCTAATTTTATGTAATTCACAATTTCTTTCCTATCCTGCCTCCACACTTGAAAGATGTATCCAAGTTTGAGGGCCTGGAAAACAGAGTTATAACAAAAGAAATAATTAAAAACATTGGTGAGCCTCGAAATTATGGCATGACAGAAGAAGAAAGGGAAGAATTTGAACGGAAAGAAGCAGAAGAATGCCTTGCTAGAGAAGCTAAAGAAAAGGCTGACTTGGAGAAAAAGGAGTTTGAAGAAAGGGCCCAAAAATTAGCAAATTGGGAAGAATGGGTAAGTAAATCTTAAATATAAGAAAATTTTAACATATTTACAGATTTCTTACCAAAGGAGGAGGAAAGTGAATAAATTTTTCTCCAGGAAGCACTACACCTGATTTTTCTATTTGTTTTGTTTGAGAGAAAATGCTGCTAAAAGGTTTAGATAGTTTATATCTATACTCTAGTAAATGTTCTCAGGAAGAGCAGTGACAGCAAATGAATTGATCCCAGTGGAAAAAATAGAATAACAGAGCTGGATAGTACCATTTAAACTACTGAGTTCACACCTCTCCTCAGTGCAGGAATTCACACTAAAGCACCCCAAACAGAGGTTGTCCAACCTCTATTTGAACACATCCAGTGAAGGAGAACTCAGCATCTTCTGGCAATATGTTTGACTGCAGAACTGCTCTGTAAGAAAATTTCTCTTTTCACCAAAACCTTTCTTCATATAATAAATCCATTGTGTTATGTCTCCTGGGATGATAAAGAAAACATGTTCTTCTTTTTTATGACATCCCTTCCAATACAAAAAAAGTGCTATCAAACAGCTGCCCCCAAGTTATCTTTTGTTACTGCTAAACATACTCATGCTCATCATGTGACTTAGTTTCCTTGTGTGACACTCTTTCAGGTCTTCTTTTTTAAAGGCTTAATATCTCCAGAACCTCTCTTCACAGGACTTAATTTCTAGTCCCCTGATCATCTTTCTTGCCCTTCTCTGAACCTTTTCCACTTTCTTTGAATCCTTAAAATGTGGTGCCCAGAACAGGATGCAATATTTAAGTGTGGTCTAACATACAATAAAGTGAAACTATCACTTCCTTTGATTTGGAAATTAGATTTCTGTTAATAGAGCCTGAAATTGCATTAACATTTTTGCAGCCACATAATACTGCTGACTTATATCCAGTTTGCAATCAACAATGACTACAAGATCTTTTTCACATGAACTACTGCTGAGCCAAGTATAACCCATTCTATATATCTACATCTGATTTCTTTTTTTCCTACACAGCTAACTTAGCATTTGTTTGTTAATATTTCAGCCCATTTCTTTGAATTTTATTTTTGTCTTCTAGCATATTAGCTATTTTACCCACTTTTATTTCATCTGCAAATCTGATAAGGACTCATGTTACCTCTTCCTCCAAGTCATAAATATAAATATTGAAAAGTATAGGGCCCAGGAGTGAATCTTTTGGCATCCCATTTGATACCTTCAGTTTCATGAGGAATTTGTGATAAATGCTCTCTGTGTATGGTTTTCAGACCTGCTACATTCATTTAATGATCATGCCAGCCCCCACTTGCTAATCAGGCTGTTATTGGGTACTTTTTAAAATTCTTTGTTAGCATCAAGATATTTAGAGCATTCCCACTATCTTCTATGGAAGTTAGTTAAAAAAAAGAGATACAGTTAGGCTGGAAAGACTTATACCTGCCCAGTCCATGCTGACTTCTGATAATTATCGCTTTGTTTTGAGTGCTTGAAAACCTCTAGAATCTTCTCACATATTGATATAATACTGATTATCTCCCAGACCCTTTTGAAAACAGGGACATTTGCCCTCTTTGATTCATTCAGCAATTCACCTGTTTTCCAGAATTTCTGTAACTTAATATATAAAGATTTAGCCAGACCATCAGCAAGTTCCTTCAGTACTTTAAGATTCAGTTCATCCAGCCTTAACTTATTCCAAAGGCTGATGTAATGGGAAGAAGGAATAAACTTGAGGAACAGAAAGAAGAGCTGCAACCAAGACAACAGTTAGATAAAAGAAATTTGAGTCTGAGCCAGATGTGTAACCCAAGTAAGCATATCAGACAACACTCTCCCTAGTTCTCACGGTGATAAAGGAAGGGAGGTGGGAAGCGCATTCAAACTTGCAAGATTCTGTTGCTATAACCTTATAATAAAAGTAGTATTAGCTTATGGAACTTTAGTTTCCTAGTCTGGTCTACCTTAGAGGACTGATCTACATTGCCTAGTTGTCCCATTACCAGAAAGAGACAGCAAACATTTTTTGAGAGCAGAAACAGACAATGTCAGTTTTACTCTCTTCCTTACCATTGCAATTTCAATCCCCCTGAGCAAATCTTGCTGTAGTCTTTTTGTCTTATGTCATCTTGGATAATCTTATCTGTTTCGGCTATAGCACTACTTCCTTGCAGGTTCACTTCACCAGTTTATTGCCTACTTTGCTGAGAAGAAACACCCCCTCAAGGGAGCCAATGCTTACCATTAGCTCTAGTACCTTAAGACCTTCCATTTGCCCTGATAATGTGTTGTTGCTGTTATTGTTCTTGTTATTCTTTCAGAGCTTCCTTTTTTGTATTTTTTAAAGAAATAAGTACAGTTCAACCATTTCACCATAGTGGACTGTGCTAGTCAGGTATTTTTAAAACTGGCTTAGAATCATGAGCATACTACAACAGCTTAAAAGGTAAGGGCAAATATAGCCTAAGTAATACATTCCTGACAATGTATTTATCAGTCTCAAGTGTCAATCCTGCTGTCCCATCCTGCTTTTCACAATTGCTTAATGGAATATGTATCTTCTTGAAGAAGACTGAACAAGAATGATTGAGTAGTTTTGCCTTTATTAAAATTTACTTTGATATGAAAAGACCTCCTCATAGACATGTGAATATAGTTTTTGTGGTAGTGATATGGATATCACTTTCCATTGCCTTTTTCCAGGATCCCAATCTAGTCTATAAATCTGGAATTCCCTGATGGCGTCCCATCCAAATACTAACCAGGCCTGACTCTGATTAGCTTTACTCCCTGAACACTGTCTGCCCATATTCTGCCCAGCTGCTGAAACCTTTTAATTGTTAGCATTTGTTGTTCATTAAGCAATTTCTATACTGATTCTTTTTTTATTTTGAACATATCTAACAACAAATAAAAAAACCACCCTTTTTGTTGTTCTTAGCCTCTTTGCCAACCTCAGGTCATTCTGAGCTTCAGTTTTCCTAACACTATCTCTACAGTTCCAGACCACTTTTCTTTATTCTCGATTTCCATTTCCTATGGGTGCTCTTTTTAATTTTCAGAATGATTCCCAATAATGGCTCCCAGTGGTATTAATAAAAATATATTGCATAATTATTCACTCTCCTTTCCCTGATGGATTTTTTTTCATGGAAAGGAAAAAGACAAATGGTGAGAAAACATATGTTATTCCATACAAGTGGAAGAATAGGAAATTTAAGTTCCCTTTAAAATTCTGTGACTAAATTTCATCTGAATTCTAATAAATATATTGATTTTTCATTCCTAATGTAACATAGAATAGCTTTACATCTACATTAATTCCTCACACACTTTTTATTCCTAAATTTCAGGTATGTTTGCTGGTACAAAAGGTACACAATAACCCATGCTTTGATTAATTGTAATTTATTAAAGAAACCACACTTGTGTGAATTCAGACAAATTCCAAACCAGAGATATACGCTAAGCCACAAAGAAGGAACCTATATTATAGATAGTGTGGTGTGTGTCATTTCATTCACAATTTTGAGAAGTAATTTCATGGATGCAATACATACCCAGATTTGAATTTCTTGGAATGAAGATACTAACTAGTGCTTTTGTTTAACAAAAAAAAAAATTGTATATATTTATAAAGACTTAAGATGTGAATTGATGGATGAATAGTTTTAATATTTTGGCAGATGTTCCTAAATCTACTTTTCCTACAACATATATGTAGGGAGACAACTGGCTTTCTACTCAGCTTTCTATCATCTTTCTTAGATAGAATCATATCATTGATAAAATCATCTCCAGAAAAAAATATAAGGAAAAGAAATTCCTCTTTTCTAAAATGATTTCTCTTTCCATAATAGATGCTGATTATTTCTTTGTAACTGATGGCTGCCTATTGCTAGCAATATCACTTCCTTAGGAAAAGAGACATGTACTGATAAAAATCAGTATAGTACAATTTCCTAATCCAGTAGATATTCAAAGATAGAGCTGGTCAGGTTTTTTTTTTTTTTAACCTCTTAAAAAGTTCTGCTCTAAATAAGGAATGGAGAACCAGTTATTTTCCAGGTATTGTGTGTCTATACCTCCCATTATCCCTAATACTTGGCTTGATTGATGCAACTTGGAATGCAAAGACATCTGGAGGGCCACATCCCCTCCCCCATGTTATAATTAAAGAATTGCAGAATTCATAAGATCCTGAAATGTCATCCAATTCAATCCCAAATCCTATAATGTAATTTTGTTATTATGTTATCCTTGACCAAATTACAGAACTTTCAGTGATGACAGACATATTAATAATGAGAGACTTCAACTACCCAGACATCTGTTGGAAAACCAGCAATCTTGCTGACTGTTTTATTTTCTGGAAAGTTGAGACAAGGGGAACGGACAACATAGTCTTGGAGTTCAAGACACTACAGAAAGGGAAATTGGAGCATAGGCATGCAGACAAAGTAGATTTTAGGACATCCAATTTCAACAACCTTACAGAAGTACTAGGCAGGATCCCATGAACAGAAATCTTGAGGTCAAAGGGAGCACAGGAGGATTGGGAATTTTCAGAAACAAATGAGAAGTTTAATCACACTCTATTCCACTGAGAATTAAACATGGGGGACAGCTTAGAAAGCCACTCTGGATGGACAAGGACCTTTTGAATGAGCTAAGTTATCCATTTCATGTATAAGAAATGGAAGATTGAGACATACCAGCAAGTAGCTAATACCTGTGAAAATTCAGAAACACTAAAACACAAGAGGAACCTAGTTTTGTAAGGGAAACATCAATAAAAGGGGCCTTTGGCCCTGTCAGTAGTAAGGGTTATGGTAGGGGAGGTAGACCCAGTGCTTGAAAGGAGGATAGTTACTAGGATAGTAACAGATGACAGGGAGTGGGCAGAGATCCTGAATTCATACTTTGCTTCAGTTTTCTTCCCAAAGGAAACTGTTTTCAGACAACTGAAGCAGAACAATTGACACAAGGAGGGAGTAGCAACCCAAGGCAAGAGGTAGCTAGAGAGCAGTTGACTACTATGAATGAATTTAAGTCTCCAGGACCAGATTAATTGTCTTTAATTAATTAATTACCAATGAAATGTATATTCCAGCAGCAAATGAATACTTTTTAATATTACCTGAAGAGCCCTCAAGTAAAAGTAGATGGTATGAGATCCTATGAATAGTGTAGCCAGGAGAGGGGGAAGAGGGAGAAGAAGATACGATGTTTCCCCCTGATGCTTTATACTTTACTGTTTACTTCCATGCAGTTTTTCATGCCCCACTCTCCCCCATTTTCCTCCCATATTTCTCAACACCAGATGATAACTAACCAGCACTCCAGATTCTTTCTCCCAATCCTCTCCAACAACCATTAATTAATTGAATAGTTTATGCTATTGTATTATCAATTTTATATTAAAATAAATTATTAAGAATAATTCCGATAACTGTTCTGTAGAAACTGAGAGTAGAATGTTTGAGACTCACTGGAAAGGAGTTTTTTTTAACAAAACTGTTGAGAAATCCAGCATTTGTGTGCATGCATATCAGAGACAGCTGAAAGTGTGATTTTGCTTTTTGTATTGTTAATTTCTGGATTTGGAAAGAGATCTCCTTCCCCCTAAAAGAAAATTCTATGGTATTAGTAATAAGAATCACTAGAGTACATTTCTTATCCTACAGTGAAGTCATCAGAGATTTACTGGCATTTTGTAATTTTTATGATAACCAGAGGCATTTGCACGGGAGGTCATAGAGGCAAATGATGAAAGCAGCTTACATCATCACTATGAAATCACTATTCTGCCCCTTTGTTATCATTTTGGCTACATTTTGACAAAAGCATTGCATTATTGTGGATGTTATTGATGTTAATTTATAAATATGCAGGATGAACATACCTTGGCCTCAGATGAATTATAGATAAAAACTAGGCATACTGTTTTAGTGGTATATTTCCTGCATTCATTTGACATGATGGTAAGAAACAATAACTAGATTTAGGAAAGGAACATGGCTCACTCAAAATAGCTGATGCAGTAAGGCTACGCCTATCTCCTCGAAGAGCTATTGTTAATTAACATAGATATACTGGACTTTGGACAAATCACCTCCATAAATAAGATAGCTTCTTGTGCTAAAATTCATGATGTGAAAGTCCTCACACATTTAAAATAAATAAACTGATACTAATCAACTAATCAAACTAAGGATGGATGGAAACTTCTGCATAAAAGAGAATCGCTTCCAGCCCTTTAGATAATTTCAACTTTCATGGTAGGATAAATAGTTTGGTTTGATACATAGCAGTTGCTATGTGTTTTTCATAATGACTTCACTGTTTCATTGCAATTGATCTTGTCGAGTCTTTGTGTCTGAGGAAATAAATTCTTGCAGCATTATTCCTTGCTAGCCAAGAGAGGCCTGACATTTGATGTCCTCTGGATCCTTTGGAAACAAATTTACACTGAGCAACTACATGCATTTTTTTGTATGTGTGTGTCACCTGATATCACAATTATGATTGAACATGTAACTTTCCTTTCTGTTAAGAATCTATAGAGTATACATGTGCATATACCTGAAACATGCCCAGCTGGTTTAGAAATGTTTTATATAGAAACATATGTGCAGGAAATGTCATAGCAGTTTTCAGACATTTACTGTTTGGTCAACATTTTCTCTTAGGCATGTGCATGATATGTACTGTAGGCTATACAAATTTTGCTACATTTTAATAGCAAGTGAATGTAGAATTCAAGAAACTAAAGCCAGGTATATGACATGAAAAGAATTTTGAAAAATCAGTTTTCTATACTATTATTCTAGACTATGTCTATGTATAATTTAGATATATTTGTCTGTATTTAGAATAAGCGTTTAGAAGAAGTGAAGCGGCAAGAACAAGAGCTTCTGGAAGCTCAGTCAATTCCACTGAGAAACTACTTAATGAAGCATGTGATGCCAACCCTTATGCAGGGGTTGAATCAATGCTGCATGGTTAGGCCAGATGACCCCGTTGACTTTCTGGTAAGAGAATTTACTTTATCTATCTATCTATCTATCTATCTATCTATCTATCTATCTATCTATCTATCTATCTATCTATCTA